AAGAGTTGAAATAGACAGGAAGGGATGCAGAAATCCTTCCATCTGTCAAGGTTAAAGGTTGACTTGTATCTGTACAGTAGCCTCTGAAAAGAAGAGCTTTAAGGGATTTTCAGGACTTTGGAATTACTGGATTCTCTTTGACATAACAGCCTATGTCTTGGTCCAGGTCCCCCCCACAGTCTTTATATATTATCTGACTGTCCATTGAAGTCAATGGAAATATTCCATTTTGCTCTGATGAAACCTAAAAGGAAGCCATTCCTGTGCTCACATGTAATATATTTTTTCTCTGTTCCTATTCTCCTGTCTGCTTTGGGTTACGTTTATTAGTTCTTCTGTCTCCCTTCAGTTCTTTGGTTCTGATGGTGGCACTTTCTTTAAGAGACTAGACATCAGTATTCTCTGTTACTTTTATATTTTTAGACTGATTACCCTAAGAAAACATAGGAGCTGCTGTAAAAAACAAAAACGCCACCACCACCACCAAAAGCTTGTATTTTATACTAGATGTCACTATCTTCAAGACATAGACAAAAATTCCAGTCCATTATTAATCTGTCATTATTGGATAAATCTAGCATTATTTTGTTATACCAAAATCTTAAATTTCCTTTTAAATGATTGAGAAAAGAAACCAAAAATCATTAATACTGTAGCTTTACAAATTTTTATGAATCAGCTGAGCTGTGGACATTGAACATAGACACACTTTTAGCCCCTTGCAAATGCTAGAAAAGCATGTTAGCTTAATTGAATTTTAAGCTAGCACATTTTTCTTTGCGTTTCTGGCAGGCTAAGAGCTAGCACATGGTCGATTACACTGGTCTGGTACCATACAGTAATTCATTCGGCCATAGCTCAACTGTTTCTTAGAGCCCTGAAAGAGGCCTCCTGAACAAAGTTGACTGAATAGTACAAAGCACAGGTGACTTGATAAATTTATATATTATAAGGCAAATTTTTGAGGATTTTCAGAGGGTTTGTAAGAAGAAGTAATGGTGCTTAGGACATAGAACAGGTTTGATATCCCAAGCAGAGCCCAAACCTAACTGGAGTGATAAATTTAGATGATGTGTAAGTAATCTGAGACTTTATCTAGTATCAGTTACTCTCTATAGCAGATTTAAGAGGGGAAAATCTCTTTTGGAAAATACCCCTTTCTTAATTCAGGTTTTAATTATTTTATTATGCTTATTAAATGCCTATAGCAATTTCTAACTACTGTGTTTCAAACAAAAAAAAAATCAGATATTCCATGAGGCACATAAAATGCTATAAGGCTGTGAAAGCAACGTACAGAAAATTGTATTTTTCTATAGTTGCACTGAGCTAGAATCATAGGGAGTCATGAGGAATGAAAAAGCTGTTGTTAGATTATCCATTGCAGTGCGATCACATCATGATATCTCATATTCCTAGGGATGTAACAGGATGAAAATGTTTTTAGCCTTCTGGGCAATGTTTGATGCTGCGTGAGGCCTCAAGAAATCATCAGGGACAAGCAGTTCTGTGCTAGGGAACTCGTTTAAATGAGTTTCTTATTCCTGTCTAACTCTTTCTTTCATTCTGGATATCTGCCATGCCCTTCCTTATTTTTTTTAAAATGCATTGGCTTTTTATAGACGTAGTGCAATAGTTACCTTCATTCACAGATGTGCAAGATTGTGACAGAAAGGCTCGGGGCTGACTCTCATCATGCTGTCAGTTTGACGGAGGAACCTCCTTCCATCTCCCTCTGGCTCATACCACTGTGAATATGAAAGTCAGCAAATCCACAAGCACTTTGGAAAGTGTTACCTGTATTCTAGTTTCCTTTTCTATAAAAGGAGAACAATGCCTTCCACATCTCATGGGACTGTAAAGACTAATGCAGTAATCTCTGTCAGGTGCTTTGGGAACACTTTATGGGAAGCACAGACTAAGTTCAACACATGGACCATTATTATTCCCCTGATAATGTTTGGTAATATACTGGGCTAAGTACCATTAATTACAGTGCTACTTATGTGCCTGAATCCCAATGCACTGTTACAATTTACTACCTTGTCTATATATAACTGAACTTTTAATTGGATAATCAAAATTATGTTATTTCAGAGAAAGTTATATTTCCTTTTTTTAACTACATTTATGCAGGGTATTATAACCTAAATAGTACAATGGACTGAGTAATCAACAGTAATAAGTTTTTATTTTAATGTGAAAATAGCCAAGAATTTAGTAAAAGAAACTGGCATAAAAACAAAACAAAACAAAACAAAACCCCAGAAAAGGTTGGTTTCACACCGTGAAAAAGCCTGGAGGTGACATTTGGACCCTTAAATCCATCTTTGACTTTACGGTGGCAAGATTGTGCCTAGGATGAAGAATACTTGATTGTTTATTAGTTTAATGCTACATTCATTTTGAAACATTATGTGGAGCTCTGTTGAAGTTAGGATGTAATAAAATTATCTAAGCATCTTCCACTGTAGGAAATTTAGAGCATTCAGGTTATGAGATGGCTGATGCTAAAGACTTGTAACAAATTGCATTCTGTACTGAAGGTATCATGACATAACAGTTATTAGCTGAATAAAATTAGAGCGATATGGGTATTGATCTGTTTCATGACCATATCTAGGCATTGAGTTTTCACCAGCAGTGGGAATATGATTTAGGAGAGTTTTGTCATACGCTTAGAAACATCTCAAAGTGCTGTTAGCTACTGTGTTATCTCTACCGGCTGGTCTCCAGTGCCCAGTTCTGTTGTTGTACACAACAAGTACGTATTCTCTGGCTTCAATTCTGGCTGAGGCCTTCAACTTCCTTGTATCAGGCACCTGTGCAAGATTATTTAGATTCTTTAGAGCAAACTTGCAGAAAGACTGTGCTAAGTGGGTTGTATAAACACTTATGCATCTGTCTGATCCTCTAAAGGGTTGTCTTGCATCCTATATCTTTGTCTGCTTTTGAAATGTTGCTTAAATAAGCTGAAATTGAAGAGGGAAAGTGAATGCGAAAATCAAATTGAAGCTTTTCTGGGTTTTTTAATTTTCTGTTTGTATCATTTGACAGCTGCAAGAAATTGTATGAGAAAAAAAATCAAAGGCTTGAGTATGAAAATCTTTGCTTACAAGCTACTCTTGTTTAGTAATCATGCTTGTTTAATAACCATAACTTGGAGCACATGATCCATAGGAACAAATAATTGAGTATATAAGAACTCATAGCTTGTACCTAAAGATATTTGTATTATCAGGAATAACATAGAGTTGTTAAATAAATATTTTGTAATTTGGACATAAAAAGTGAAAAACTACCTAATAGAGAAGACTTCACATGTATGGGAATAACAATAATACTTCTGTACTAAGGATAACAGACGTTCAAATACTATGAAATGCTTATTCATAAACTGTTTAGTGATATAAAAATTGAGTTTTGTCTCAGCATATTCATATTCTTTTTCTCTTTGCTGTTTATTATTTGTGTTTATGAACAGTGAACTTGGGGTCCTGAAGCTGAGGTTCATTTAAGAAAACAAAGTTCAGTTTGTGATACGAAAACGGCTCCTTGGAGAAAGGATACCTTTAGGTTAAGATGTCTAACTGAGAAACCACAGAAATAGAAACTAGACGCATGTAACTTAAATGACCAGCCACAAAGCTTAATATATGAATTTCAAATATCAAATAATAAACTGAATACTTGAATGTATCCATTAAATCTATTCGAGTAAATCTGCATAATGAATAGCTTCATAAAATTTAGAACTGCTAGCAGACAATTTTGCAAACAGGAAGGCCACTGCATTCACCCCACAATTTGCTTGTCGTGAGCAATTTTAACCAGTTTTAAAATCATGAACGAAATTCCATGAATGGTGGGACTTTCCATCAAGCTCATAGCGAAAAAAAGGTTTAGTTTTGTAAGTTAATCTTTCAGTCCGACACATAATACAGGTCTTTTATGTTTTCCTGACAGACCAGCAGTACTCATGGTCACCTTCTCAGCACTTCAATGAAGAAAGATACTCTCCTGCTCCGAGGAATATGAAAGGATTATCTGGTAGTCGCAACCAACCACAGTTATGTTCAGCTCATACTTGTGGCTTAGCATCCCCTGAAGATTGTGAACACACCCACGACCATATCCACCATGGGCAGGAGCCAAGGCAATCGTATCTTCTCAGCCCCACGGAGAGTTGCCCGATGGACCACCATCGTTGCTCGCCACGCAGCTCCATTCATTCTGAATGCATGATGATGCCCATGGTAATGGGCGATCACATGTCAAGTAGCACTTTCCCCAGAATGCACTACAGCTCACATTACGACTCAAGAGACGACTGCGCCATGTCTCACGGTAACCCTAAGATTAATCGTATTCCTGCAAATCTTTTGGACCAATTTGAGAAGCAGCTTCCTCTTCACCGGGATGGGTTTCACACTTTACAGTACCAGAGGACCTCAACAGCTGCAGAACAACGCAGTGAGAGCCCAGGAAGAATACGCCATCTCGTTCATTCAGTCCAGAAACTTTTTACTAAATCTCATTCTCTGGAAGGATCATCCAAGGGCAACGTTAATGGAACAAAGGGAGACAGTCGAGGGGACGACCATCATCACGGGCACCATTCCAAGCATAGCAAAAGGAGTAAAAGTAAGGAGCGAAAACCAGAAAGCAAGCATAAATCTGGAATGAGCAGCTGGTGGAGCTCTGACGATAATTTGGACAGCGATAGCACTTACCGAACCCCTAGCGTGGTAAATAGGCACCATGCAGATCATATATCCCATTGCTACCCTGAGGCGCTTCAGGGGCATTTTGGGGATCTCTCATTGAAGACTTCCAAAAGTAACAATGATGTGAAATGTTCGGCTTGTGAAGGGCTAGCAATGACCCCTGATGGTAAATATATGAAAAGGAGTTCTTGGTCCACGCTTACAGTAAGTCAGGCTAAAGAAGCTTATCGCAAATCATCACTGAACTTAGATAAGCCTCTGGTTCATCAGGAAATCAAACCTTCCTTGAGGCCGTGCCATTACCTCCAGGTAAGAGGAAGATTTTCTTAATATTTGTGATGGAAAAAGCATCACAGTTTATGACATTAAGTCATCGTAAAAAATACAGGGGTAATCTGTGTATCTCTCTTAAAGAATATCTGCACAGCTCACCTAATGCAGATATTCCATGAAAGTGAGAAAACTCTAGCTTTCCTCTTGGTTTATAGGGCTTAGATTAAAAACTAAATAAAATTGGTGTGATATAAATTACTTTACGGTCAGTGGATGTGTTTTCATCTTTGGAGTTCACACTGAAGATCTTGATAAAATCCATACACCAGACTAAAAAAGGGGCAGTTCTCCCAGCAGTCTGGAGGCTAGAAAAAGTGTGTCAAATACATCTGTAAATGAGTAATTTTAAAAACAGGCTGTGTGAATTTCTGGTTTTGTGTTATTTCATTCCTTTTCTCCAGGTTGCTCTAAATAACAGGAGAATAGATTTACTGGTGCACTCAATTGCTTTGTCGTGACAATGATTACTCACAAACTTCCTTTTTGTGACTGGGTTAGCCAAAAATCATAATGCACTGAACCTCTTGAGACCATACTATAAGCTATCCTTGTTAAAAGTTATATGGGTACATTAGGGAGGGAAATATTTCAGGCCCAGTACTCAGAGTGTTTGTGGTGGTATTTTGCACGCTTGTTTTCTTTAGCAGCAGCCAAGAAGCTCCTGCTTTCTCCTACATTTAACCTTTATACCTGCTGCTTTCTGCCATTTGCCACCCAAAGTCATGTTAGTATAGCCATTTGTGATGCTGCACAATGATCTGGATATTGAAGTCATATGGATTTAAAAATTAGCTTCCAAAATATTTTTCTTAGATATTTACATCATTTACATGGCCTAAGTCCAGCACAGTCCCATGACAAGTGTCATCGCATCAGGGTGTACAGGGAACTGCAGTGGGAGTAGAGCAGGAGGCAGTAGCTGGGAAGATAACTTCTTCAGCTAGCTTTGCCACTGGAAAAAACGTAGTATACAAATATTCCCTTAGGTATTTTTACCAAGTACAGCCTGCAAAGCCCACACTGTTCTGAGTACCTTCTCTTTTATTTCTTTTTAAGGAACTTCTCTTTCTCCAGAACTTAACTGATTCTCACATTAACGTGGCCAGTCTCCACTCCAGATATATCTATTTAGAGATTTTCAGTTCCTGTGGACTCTGCAGAAGCCAACACACACAGGCTAGCATCCGTGGTACTTCTGCACAGAGCTCTTTTCCCTCTGAGCAATAGGGAACCAATAGTAATGAGTCACACTTGAAGAGTCAGATTTTTTCAAATGAAGATGCAGACATCCAGGATCAATCTTCACTACTGAAACAGGGAAAGTTCCTCATTGTAGAGAAAGAAAAATAACGAAATTGCAATCCTCATAACATTACCATGCAAATTTATTCCAATTTAGACTGACAGCTGTGATACTTTATCACATCCAAGTTCTCATGTATGTAAAACAGCCTGCACTTCCCTGGAAGTTTTTAATCTAACTCAACAAGCTTAAACTGGAAGTGTGTCCTGTGCAGAGACTTCCACTTGCATCTGTATTCTAAAACCACGTGTACAGCTCCAACATTACAGGGAAGTTTAGGTATGACTAGCTTTATCCTTACTGTGACATACTGCTACAGACAGCTCTGGTTCCTTTACATCTCTGCTGGGTTTTGTGCTTTCTTTCTCATCATGGTTCATTGTTTCTTCTCCCTTTCTCCTTACATCTCATTTTTCTTTGCAGAAGCCACCAGTTTTTACTTTTCATGGGCTTTCTCCTTAGTCCCAACTTACTTACATCAGCATCCTCAAGTGCATGTGAAACACTGGGTTCACAATATGTCTTGGTTATTGCTTTAGACGAAGCTCAGTGGCAAGCCTAGGGAGCAGGAAAACACATTTTTTACAGAGTCATTGTTTTATGCTTTTTGTGACTTTGGGATGACTACAGAAAAAAATTTTCATGCAGTAATTAGGAAGGTTCATTCACTGGTAGGTTCATCCAGCTTAAAATCTAGATGTGAATTTAATTTTTTGCTGCACCAGAGACTTTCTCTGTGATCTTTGTTTTTTAAAATTGGGATGGTAGCCATTCGCTATTCACAGAGATCCTATAATGGAAATCTGTTAAGACTTGAGTGCTCAGTTACTGCAATAAAGAATCTGTAGCTGTGTCCAAAGCAATAATACCTGGAATTCTACAACAGGAGTATTCTCATTAAAAAATATTAAAATAAAATATATGTTCTGCAGAATCTGAATATGCCATTCAAAGCATAGATATCCTTCAGGTTGAGTGGCTGGCTTATTCACTAGCCCAAGGTCAGCAAACAAATTGAAGGGACCCCATTCTGTCAATGTCATAACTAAATGCTTAGTTTTGAAATTTCTACTTTGAGGGATGCTGTGCTGTCACACTGTAATCGTTAAGACCAGAGATATAAGTCCCATTATTAGCTCTGCCATGAACTTTCTCTCTGACCCAGGAAATGTAATTTGTTAATCACTGCACACTTCAATTACTCTATCTGCAAAATGGAGGAAGGATATTTAACTTCTCTTATGACAGTGTAAGAAGCATCACTAAATAATGATTGGATAAAAATAATCATTAGGTTCAGAAACTGAGAAAGGTAGAGAAACATGTCAGGATCTCTAGCCAGGATAGTTCACTGCCTTGCTCCAGAATATCTGGAAATGAGAATTCAAAGGATTATGAAGCTGATTATGCAGCAGCAGATTTCCCTGAGGTGCACAAGTGAACAGATTGGTGAAAAACCTCAGGCCCTTCACAGCATCTCTGTGTTTATAGCATTACAACACATGATATTAAAAGACATTTCTCTTGAGTGATGTCAGCTATGTATTTTTAAATTCTTTTTAAAGCAAAGCTGTGAAATTATAGTCCTTCAGCGATCTGATATTTCAATACATAAAAATACCCCAGAATAATAAAAATTAATTTTCTATGTTTA